CCTCCTGTCAATTACCTCCTGGGTAATCTTCTAGACCCACCTGACCCCCTGTTTATTACCTCCTGGGTAATCTCCTAGACCCACTTGACCCAGCTTTCAATTACTACGTGACCCAGCATTTAGATGCCTTATATGTTGAAAAGTCCATTACTGTGTTGATTTCGAACATTGTATCAGGCTAGTGTGTTGATTTCGCACATTGTGTCAGGCTAATGTGTCGATCCCATAATCACAATATAGAGTAGGCCTACACAATATGGCGCACGTTGTATATATATACAATCGTTATAAATCATTTTTTAGTTAAATTTTGTTTAACTAATCCAAAAATACTAAAACCATTAAATACATGCAATCTTTAATAAACTCCACACACAAAAAATAAAAAGTCAGAATTTACAATCATATTTATTTTAATAAAATGATTTTTAAAAAATAATTAATGGCCCTTTCGAAAGTTTTCGAGACTTTTCGTTTGCAGTACCGGCGCAAGGTTATTTAGCGCCCTAGGCAAAACTTATTAAAACGCCTCCTTTCGCACACATTTCTTACTAAAAAATTTGTATAAGAAAATAATTAATTAAAAGTGACATATTAAAAGAAAACATGGAAAAGAACGGTTGAGGAAGAGGCAAAAACAGCTGGGCTCACATGGGCACAGATTAAGGGAGCATCCCAAAACCGAGTCCGCTGGAGATGTGTGGTTGCAGCCCTTTGCTCCCCAAATGCCACAAAGGAATGATGATGATGAATGATGATGAAGACATATTAATTTGTTATCAATTGCATACACGTCACAAGTAAACATCAAAGTCAATTTTTACTTGCCTCCTTCGTCGCTAAAGTTTGTACTAATTCCTTCGATTCCTGTTTGCAAGCGTAATCACATTCAATTGAAATTGTTGCTAAGTCCACGAGTCTAATTTCTACTTTACGACATAGCGACTATTAGCGACCCCCCCCCCCCTCCCCACACTAAATTTAGAAGCATTTATTGCACTAGGCCCTACTAGTATTAAGTATTGCAATCTACAACAGCTACTGATGTATTTGTTTTTCAATGTAATAATGTTAAAAAAAACGAACCAAACTATTTTGTTTAGAACTTCTGCTTTATGTAATTTTTACAATACTAAATAATAACTTGTATTTATACGTAAGCGGTTAACCTAAGGTGTAGGAATTTGAATTGAATGTAAAGTTAAGCAACGAATTATCCCCCATTCGTTCACCCAAATACCAAAATTTTATCTAAGGGAAATAACATTCACAAAAATAGCTAAATTAACCAAGTCGTGTAACTAAGACATTCTTGAAAACCACATTAAAGCGGTTTCAATTTAATTACATAATAATTATACTAAATCTTTTGTAATAGTTATAAAACCAGTCAAAAAATATATTTTAATAATTGACTACTTAACTGTGGGTTTTGTTTGAAAGTTTAAATACTGTAGCTTTATTGTAGCATACTTCTAGTCAATTTCGATGAGAGATATTGGACATTACATCAAAAAAACATATTCGCTTAATTTTGGATCCCCTAATATAAGGGACACCTATTTAAAATAATGCTATGATTATTGATTAAAATATAACAATATAATTTAAAAAAAAACAAAGTTTACCGTTAGTTATAAATTCCAGCCTATATAATATATATTATTAATAGTGGTAATAGAGAACGCCTATCTTTCTTTGTGTTCCGTCCTGAATTGAAATCATCTAACGATAAACTCGACTACTCAATATACTCAAACTCTACTACATTCACAACAGATATCAAACCTAAACATAACTAGACTCCAGAACTACGACACCAACTCCTTTAACTTTGCCAAGCTTTACAAACGATACTCCCAATCAACAACGATTTCACTGGACCTATTACTACACGATAACATTGAACTTAATTCGATACATTAATACCACATGACTTGATACTCCCGAATTCTAGAACTACGAAACTTCATCACCTACATTCTCATTTATCCACCACCAATCAGCTTCCACTAGACCTACAACTACACGACAACAGCCAAATAAAAAATACGACACTTTAACAATTCGATACTTTATACCAGGGGTCTCCAAACTTTTCAGCCGGAGGGCCGCATTAAGTATCATATATCATTTCGGGGGCAAGAGTTTCTTCCAGGCATCTCTTCGGTGTGGCGGAGCACCCCCTCCCGCCCCCCCCCCCCCCACCCAAAGAATTCTACCGCCACCCGCTCCCCACGAAATATAATTTATATTGAAACATATTCAAGTGTCCTACACCCCCTCCCCGGAGAGAAAAGTCTGAAAGAAACACTGCCGGTGGCCGATAACACACTTGAAGTCCAAGTTTGTTATCAAATTGTTCTTCACGTATTTCATTCTTGAAAAGGGTTGTTCAAATAGATATGTTGTTCCAAAATTTGAAAGCTACTTTGATGCAAAAGCTTTAATATTAGGAAAGTTCCTTGGGCAAAAACTTATTTTTAAAAGCCCACCCGCTCTTCTTTGAACTTGTCTCTAAGGAGGTCATTTGCTTGCAATTCAATGACCCCCAGCTGTAGTTTATCTGGGCAACTGTTCACATTTGCTTCAAATGGGTTTTGAACAGTCTTACTTCTTCTGCTTGAATCCAAGTCAGTAAAATGCTACTGAAACTGCAGCTTGAGGTCCAAGATGAACAATTTTTTCAATAGACAAATGATCTCCGCGGGCCGGATGAGAGGACCTTGCGGGCCGCATCCGGCCCGCGGGCCGTAGTTTGGAGACCCCTGCTTTATACCTACGAAACCATATCAGCCTTCCACCGTTACTCCCAAATCTAAACGATTCATCAAAACTTAACCAAACAAGCACAATACTTTGAACACTCCGTCATTACAAAACTCTATACACCAGAACAGATTTCTAATTCAAAGTAAGAGAAAACGAGACTTACAAGCCCTACCAAAAACCAAAATTGCACGTGTTTTGGAACGCCCCGCCATGCGCTGGAGCGATCGCTAGATCAACATTAAAATTAACCGTTTGAAATGTTCGAAACTTAAATTACAAAGTGACTAGTAAAAAGCGCCCCGACCTTTCCAAATTAGGGGGGTGTGGGGTTGCATTTTCACCATCGCAAATAAATATAGGTCTTTATATGCCTAATTTTGGGGTGGGGGCGAAACATTGATAGTTTGTCCATGGCGCCGAAATAGGTCGCTGCTCCTTTGTTTATTACCATCTATAGTTTATAAAAGATAATCAAAGTTATTAATTATTAGATACTTTTTGATAATAGCGATGAAACATTTTTGCGCCCCCACTAGGCCTAGTTCGTCTTATAGGTAGCGCCGGCCCTGCTCGTTTGTGTGTATTGAAAACTTCTAAACTCATGTGCATTGTTATTAAAAGCATCATCATCATCATTTTTACAAGCTTTTATTTAACTCACTTCCTCTGTCTGTCGTCAGTCTGTCTTGACGGAAACGCAGGAGTGAAAATTCGGACAGTTCTACTTGACCGATACGATTCACATTTGACACGTGGGTCAAGACATGAAGACAATGCAATCTGAAACTAAATTTGACTTAATTGGATGCCTAATTAATTTTTTATGAATTAATAAAAATTTGTACCGAATTAGTAGGCATGTCTAGCCAACCACACCACACGCGTCATCACCTTCAATAGTTGCGCCATCACGTAATGGCTGCGTTCAAAAACCATTGCGCGCCTACCATGAACGTGATGTTCAGTAGGCGCGCAATGGTTTTTAGTCATGTAACTCTATTGTAAATAAAACATGTAAAGAACTGAAAAAAAAAATTCATAAAAAACGTTTTAATAACAAGCTTTTATGTAATGATGCACTAAAAAGTAGAAAATAAATTATAGACTACTATTTAAATAACTATAAAGAAAAGCGTGGGTGTCTTCCTTAACATTAGTAAAGGTATCCAATAGATACTAAAGTGACCCACGCTTTTCTTTATAGTTATTTAAATAGTAGTCTATAATTTATTACAAGCTTTTATTTAACTCACTTCCTCTGTCTGTCGTAAGTCTGTCTTGGCGGAAACGCAGGAGTGAAAATTCGGACAGTTCTACTTGACCGACACGATTCACAGTTGGCACGTGGGTCAAGACATGAAGACAATGCAATCTGAAACTAAATTTGACTTAATTGGATGCCTAATTGATTTTTTATGAATTAATTAAAATTTGGACCGAATTAGTAGGCATGTCTAGCCAACCACACCACACGCGTCATCAATAGCTGCGCCATCACGACCACGTAATGGCTGCGTTCAAAAACCATTGCGCGCCTACTGAACGTGATGTTCAGTAGGCGCGCAATGGTTTTTAGTCATGTAACTCTATTGTAGATAAAACATGTAAAGTACTGAAAAAAAATTCATAAAAAACGTTTTAATAACAAGCTTTTATGTAATGATGCACTAAAAAGTAGAAAATAAATTATAGACTACTATTTAAATAACTATAAAGAAAAGCGTGGGTGTCTTCCTTAACATTAGTAAAGGTATCCAATAGATACTAAAGTGACCCACGCTTTTCTTTATAGTTATTTAAATAGTAGTCTATAATTTATTTTCTACTTTTTAGTGCATCATTACATAAAAGCTTGTTATTAAAACGTTTTTTATGAATTTTTTTTTCCTTTGTGGTCCCTGGGGAGCAGAGGGTTGCAGTTACACTTTTCCAGCGGGCTCGGTTGGGGGGGGGGGGGGGGCTCCCCTCGCCTGTACCCACGTGAGCCCACAATCTCCGATGTTTCTTACAGACTTCTTTCTCGGCGGGGGGGGGGGGGGGGAGCTTGAAATTTTCGGGAGGGGGGTAGACGCTCTTCGGCAGCTTCACTGATTACCCGGAAATGCAACTTCACCCCCCTCTCTTCTTACACTACTTAGTGTGCAAAATCGGTAATTCCCAATTCATTCTTGTTTTGTTTACGTTTAAATTTTCTAAATGAAAGCAAATTGGACTTGAGATACCATCACTTCCGCTACGCGAACAAAATGGATGCCGCATTGAATAATCGGATTGAAAGCTTACCATACCATCCGTATCTGTGGCGTCTGGTAACTGGATATCATCGGATTAGATTGTGGATTTTAAGCAAGATCGGGAGAATACCAAACGACATCGACGACGTGATTGAAGAAGATTACGACGACAACAGCGATGATAGCGATACCAAGTACTGCAGTAAGTGGTGATAACAATGGAGGCGAGCGAGTTGACGAGATTCCTTCCATAATGTTGTTGACATGGAATAAAAACGTCCTTTTTAGATTTAGACCGTAAAAAAAAAATAAAAAATAAAAACTTAAGCCTAAAATTAATTTAGAAATTTTATATTTTTAGAATAAATGCTATAAAAGTTGCAAATCCAGAGAACTTGAAAATAATTTGTTGAGTTTAAGGCTACATTTCTATTTATTTTCATCAAGCCTAAGTTATAACCGGATGTTTCACTTTTGTAAGACAAATATTGATTGGCTGAACAGTAACTTAGTGATCGATAACTATTTGTTTACAAAACTTTGCAGAACAAGTTTTTAAATAACAATGCAAATTTAAAACCCCATGACCTAGTTTTCTATTTTTAGCTTACAATGTGTACAATAAAATCAATGGCGGCCTATCGAATAACAGGATGCCATTGTTTATGTCGCCATTACACGTGAAAACCAAATTGTTTTTGCTTTTTTTTTTAATTTTTATTTAGTTACCGAAAATATCATAAACATCAAATACATCCAATCTTTAGTAAAGTCCGAAAAAAACCAGACATACAGGATTTTATAACCATATTAATTGTAACTACGCTGTGCAAGATTTTTAAATTAATTTATACACCTCTCAAATACCTTTGAGACTTTTCTCGCTGGTGTCCATTGCGATTATAATGAACGCGAACGAAAAGAGTCCCGAAAGGCCCATTACATATTTTAAAATCATATGCGACTTTTTAAAATTAACGTGGTTATAAAAATTAATGGTGATATTTTTGTACGACATTACTAAATTTTAATTTAATGCATTTGATGTTTTTAGTATTGGTTCTTAAAATATTTATGTTTCTGAATTTTAAGTCTTAAGTTTTTTTTATTTTTTTCTACTGCGTCCCTCTGTACGTCGTGTACATCCATTTATTTGTGTACATCTATCTATTTGTGTACATCCATGTATTTGTGTACATCCATTTATTTGTGTACATCCATATATTGTTGTACATCCATCTATTTGTGTACATCCATCTATTTGTGTATATCCATATATTTGGGTACATCCATATATTTGGGTAGATCCATCTATTTGTGTACATCCATGTTTTTGTGTACACCCATATATTGTTGTACATCCATATATTGTTGAACATCCATCTATTTGTGTACATCCATCTATGTGTGTACATCCATGTATTTGTGTACATCCATTTATTTGTGTACATTTACCTATTTGTGTACATCCATCTATTTGTCTACATCCATCTATTTGTGTACATCCATCTATTTGTGTACATCCATCTATTTGTGTACATTTATCTATTTGCGTACATCCATCTATTTGTGTACATTTATCTATTTGTGTACATACATCTATTTGTGTACATCCATCTATTTGTGTACATTTATCTATTTGTGTACATCCATCTATTTGTGTACAACCATCTATTTGTGTACATCCATATATTGTTGTACATCCATCTATTTGTGTACATCCATCTATTTGTGTACATACATCAATTTGTGTACATCCATCTATTTGTGTACATCCATATATTGTTGTACATCCATCTATTTGTGTACATCCATCTATTTGTGTACATCCATCTATTTGTGTACATCCATCTATTTGTGTACATGTATTTGTGTACATCCATTTATTTGTGTACATCCATATATTGTTGTACATCCATCTATTTGTGTACATCCATCTATTTATGTACATCCATCTATTTGTGTACATCCATGTATTTGTGTACATTCATCTATTTGGTTACATCCATCTCTTCGTGTACATCCATCAATTTGTGTACATCCATGTATTTGTGTACATCCATCTATTTGTGTACATCCATCTATTTGTGTACATCCATATATTGTTGTACATCCGTGTTTTTGTGTACATCGATATATTTGTGTACATCCATCTATTTGTGTACATCCATGTATTTGTGTACATCTATTTATTTGTGCACATCCATGTTTTTGTGTACATCCATATATTTGTGTACATCCATCTACAGTAAAGGATTATCCATCCGACTCGTCTCTAGAGAAGAAGGAAAAACCCATCCGAGCCGAGTACCTAAGCCTCAAAGGGTAATTCACCGTGGTGTTAAATCTATGTTCATATTAAAAGGTTGTTAACAATGTCTTGCAATTTATGACACTGGTAGAAAGTAGTTCAACTTGTTAAAATATATGGTAAAATTAACAAATCTGTGTGCTTAGCGTGTTAGGTTGTTTCGTAAACTAATGCTATGTTTTCAATTTGCGAATTATTTTTAGCCATCATGTATTGCAAGTTGTAATGGTTTAAAAGTTGAAATGACAGTTGAAAAGATTTACGTCTAATCGTATTTTTGTATATGTATATATAGTATTTTTTCTTGAATATTTAACAATATACATAACGTGTTTTACAGTGATTTATTTCGCATTAATGTACTGCGAGTGATCAAAAGAAGGCTTCAGGTGCAGGGATTTGAAAGGTTAGGGTTCAAATCTCGTTTGTCTTGTGTGTGATGTGCACGCTTGGTCTATCTGGCTCTGATAGTTTGAGACAGTTACATTACCTGTGCTTCATTTGATTCATCTGCCTTGCTTTGTCATTGGTCGAAACTGGCGAGCGAAATTTCGGCCACTTCTAGCCGACCAAGTGCTATTAAAATTGGCACGTGGTTTAAGACACACTAGTAATGCAACGTGAGTTTAAATGTGAATTATAATTGGTAACAGGACACATGATCTCAGCACAAATTATATCAGACGAAAATCACGGACGAAATATAACAGGACACATGTGTCCAATACATGAGGCATCAACTTATATTTGTTGCTGTGTCGGACACAAAAGCCATCCAGAGGCGTAGCGAGGGGGGGGGGGGGGGGCGGGGGGGGGGGACATATGTCCCCGGGCGCCGACCTTAGGGGGGGGGGCGCCAAATTGAAAGTTTGATGTGGGGGGTGGAAATGAAAAGTTCGAGCGGGGTGGGGGGTGCAAATCGAAAGTTTGTCCCCGGGCGCCGGGAAGGGTCGCTATGCCTCTGAAGCCATCAACTCATATATGTACCCTTCAGGTTAGAAGCTTGCACGAAGGAAGGACTCAGTGATGGCCTGCTGAAGTGTCTGAAGGACCGAATGGGAAAAGAGCGGGACCTAGCCGCTGATTGCCTGAGGCTGCTGGCCTTGGAGCTACGTGCTGAGGGTTCCAGCATATTTCAGGACAAGATTTACCCTGAGCTGACCCCCCTGTTGACAGGCATCTCCACCCACTACAAGACTCGCGCGGTCTGTGCCACGACACTTGCCACCTGGTGCTACCTGTGTTCCAGTGACCTGCAGGTATGCCATTCTTCTTTTTACTCACGTGTACTTTAACCCTTTTTGTTTGTTTAAATGTATTTAGGACATTACCATGCCCCCCCCTTCCCCACCAATTTCCCCCTCCCGTCAATTCCCCTCTCCCGTCAATTCCCCTCCACTCGACGTTACCCCCCACCCCCCACCCCCCCATCCCCTGAGATATTACCCCATATCAATCACAGATCAATTATCTATTCACAACATTTCACTTAACTAGTTCAATTCCGGTTAGCTGGACACATGTAACAAAATATTTCCTTGGAAAGATCTCATTTCTACTTGAAATTTCCCGTAAATTGCTTAATTTTTTTAAATATGTTTCCTTCAAACTGAATTTCATGATTTAAAAAACCTGTTTTGATTTTTAGTTGCACCTCTGGTTTTTTGTTTACTAGCTGACCACCTGCAGAGTTTCTTCCAGGCATCTCTTCGGGGGGGGGGGGGGGCTATGCCCCCCCCCCCCCCGAAATTTTTTTACCGCCCCCCCCCCCCCCCGAACGAAATGAAATTTATAAAAGTCTGGAAGAAACACTGACCACCTGACAGACACTTTACTCCTTTTGAGTTGAAGTTGAATCTTTAGAAATGTTACAACATAGTTTCCCCACTAGTGCTATTCAAATATGGGTGGATTTCCTACACCAGTATCCGATAATAGAATCTTATTTTTTTAAAAAATGGGTGTTAGGTTACTGGTAGTTAAATAAATACATACTTACGGTTTACTAATATCAGAGATAAACCTACCCCCTAACTCCAGCCTTAGGCTACCATAAGCCTAACCCTACTTTCTAACCATCAAACTAGTCTCGATAAGAATACGACTAACAACCTAACACCCCCGTTTTCAGAAGAGTCCATTATCGGACTGGTGTCTTTAATCATTTGTTAGTTACATCACAAGTTAAAGACAGTTACAAACACAATGGAGGTTCCGACCGAAGATATTTGTTAATACACAACACTATCTGTTTTATTACTAATCAAATATTAGGTATATGTATATGTACTGAGGCGTATTGCATGCTTTGTGATCTGTGATTTTAAGCTGTGACGTTAGGTCTGTGGTTGTTTGCCTTAAAATTTAGGTAAATTTTATACAAAGTTTAACATCAAATTTTGTTTTTTCATTTCAAGAAATGCAAAGAGCTGAGTACAATTCTCGAAGATATGTTCAGTCGTGGTTGTGGGCAGGGAGATAACTCTCTAGCCACTAGTGCACAAGGAGACAACTCTCCAGTCAATAGTGGACAGGGAAACAACTCTCCAGTCAGTAGTGAACAGGGAAACAACTCTCCAGTCAGTAGTGGACAGGGAAGCAACTCTCCAGTCAATAGTGGACAGGGAAACAACTCTCCAGTCAGTAGTGAACAGGGAAACAACTCTCCAGTCAGTAGTGGACAGGGAAACAACTCTCCAGTCAGTAGCGGACAGGGAGACAACTCTCAGAACGAAATATCCCAACAGAATTGGTTGATGTTCCACGTCTTGAAGGCTTGGTGTCTTCTGCTGACCAGTTGTACACAAGATGACATCCAGGCCCACATCAACAAGTAGGTTCACTATGGTGTTGGCAGTCTAGGTGATATTTTTATAATGTAGTTAAATAATCTTTTGGGCAGTGTTTCTTTCAGTCATATCTTCATCCCCTACCCCTCGGAACGAAAAATAATGTATATAGAAAATATATACTTTTAACTAAAGCGAACATGGCAAGGCAAACTGACGCTTTTCAATTAAATATTTTAAAGGTAACAGAAGTAGGCCATTTTGAAAGATGTTAATGTTAATTCGTAATTCAGGCAAAGGTGAAAATAAGAAAATATTTTACAAGGTTTATTTCAGTAAGAGCCGTCTGATCTAGTGTTATCTAGCCAAAAGAATCCGGGCTACATACCAAGGTCACCGAAACAGCTGAACTCTACTTCACTTGCCCTATGGACCTTAACGTTCGAAAAAAAGAACTTTAAGGATTTTTTGTTTGAATAATCTCTCAGTTGTTCTGTTTCAAGTGCATTTTGTTTTTATAAATGCCAAGATGTAGAATTTCTATTTTGTTTGTCCTTCTGTAGGCACATGGGTTCTCTGATGGAGTTGTTGAAGAGTTCTGATGAGGAACTGCGCGTCACTGCTGGTGAGGTCATTGTCCTGCTTTATGAGATGGCCAGAGGTGCTAAAGAGGTAAATTTTTATCTGGCCAGTAATTGAGAGTTGGGACGGAGTGGTCTAGCGGTAGAGAGCTGGAATCCTAACCCGTAAGTCTCGATTTCGAATCTGGGTTCAAGTCATTAGACCGTCCCTGAGTCCACCCAACTCTGATGGGTACCTAACACATGTTAGGGATATTAAAGGCGGCTGGGTATAGTGCTGACCACACTATCTCTTCATATACCGAAGTCACAGAAACAAGTGAACTATACATCACTTGCCCCATAGACCGTCAAGTTTGAAAGGGAAACTTGAGAGTTAAACGACTTGAGTCTTGTTGTTTTAGTTATTGCTCTACACGTTTGTTTTTATTGTAGGAATTTCGTGAGGAGGGAAATGAAGCAAAGCTTTGTCAACAGTTGAAGCAGCTTGCTTGTGATTCTGTCAGTCATCGTGCCAAGACCAGCAGACGACGTCAGAAGGCAAGCTTTAGGGACGTTTACAGAAATGTCGTGGTGAGTTTTGACTCTTCAGCCACGAAGTTATTTTTATTTTTCACAACGACCAATAGACTCGTGTATATTTCTAATGTGCTCTCTATATATCGAGTTTGGTTGTGTCATTTTGCTATTTTTAGACGAAAATAGGTCATGATACTAAAAAAAGAGTTTTCCATTAATGTATGACACATAAGGGTACATAAAATATGAATAACAATTATTGGGCTCAAATTAATCAAAAACTGAGCCATGGTTACGGTTTTAAGATCAATTTTAAGCATATGTTTAAATAACATAGGCCACATAAGTTTATTTTTAAAAAAAAGTATTTCTAAGATTTTGAATTGTTTATTTCAATAATGATCGAACAATTGATATTTTCCAATTTTTTATCAAATATCCACAAGAGAGTTCCCTTAAGGGAATGAATGTAAGAATATACTAAGAGACAGCAGCCAATATACTTACAATAGCTTACTATAGGGCTTGTAAGTCTACGGTCTCGAAATCTACTAGCTGCATAGTACGAGAACGAGAAGTTGTGACCTACTTACGAGCCCTATATGCAGTAGTTAACTGTTGTACTGTAGTAAGTCACGTTCTAGGGATGTGCACCTTAAAATGTAGTACATCCTTTCCTGCAGCTACACTTGTATTTACTTTCGTTAGGTTTTTTTACGATTTGTGTTTTCCCCACTTTTTAGTCAGCCATGTTGGAGGTTGCTGCCTTCAGAGCCAAGACGAACGTGTGCGCCATCACGGGCAGAGAGTGCCAGCATCATCTCAGCAGTCTGGAAGCCGATGCTTGAGATAGGTCTCCTAATGCCATAATTAATATCGTCGTATTCCATCTGTAGCGCTTTAGTGATTGGCCTGCTTTGTAGGTCTCTGTATGCAAGAATTAATATCGTCGTATTCCATCTGTAGCGCGTTAGAGATTAGCATACATTGTTGAAAAGTTCCATCTATTGTGACGTGTTCACAAGAAGCAAAAGTAAAATCATAACGTCACACCAAAAGTCACGATTGAGCTGAGCAAATGATATTTTTCGCTGTAATGATTTCAATTAGATCCGAATTCAAGATTTATTTTCGGTTATTAAGATATGCCCTAATTACTTGATTATTCTTAGTACCATCACTGCATACAGTCATTACATCGTTGTATTGCATTTTATTAGAAATTAATAGCTATGAAACATATCTTAATGAATTCTATAATGTAGCCTGCGGATGGTCAATAAACACAAATACCGTTACTTTTTTCGTCATTGTTTTCAATTTATATTACAACCTTACTAGTTTCTTATTTTGTCATTATTTACAATCTCAATCATTCTTTGTATATACTTTTCTTTATTTATACTTTTCTAGTTTAATGTTTCTTTTTTGTGTTACTACTCTA